TTACCGCTGGGCAACCAACTACGGGGTGGGGAAATGTTTTACCGCTGGACAACCAACGACAGGGATGGGGAATGTTTTTACCGGGACAAACCCAAACTAAAGGGATGGGGACTGTTTTTACCGCTGGACAGACCAAGCGACAGGGATGGGGAACTGTTTTACCCGGACAGACCAACGACAGGGATGGGGAAAAGTTTTACCGGGACAGACCAACTAAGGGGGGGGGGAAAAATGTTCTTACCGCGGCAGACCAAGCCCACGGATGGGGGAATGTTTTTTTACCCCGGACGACCAAGTACAGGGTGGGGGAACTGTTCTTACCCCTGGACAGACCAAGCTAAGGGATGGGGAACTTTCTTACGCGGGAAGACCAAGTACAGGGGGGGGGCTTTCTTACCGCGGAAACCAACTACGGATGGGGAACTGTTCTTACCGTGGACAGACCCAAGCTACGGGGGGGGGAGTTTTTACCGTGGAAAACCAAATACAGGGAGGGGAACGTCTTCCCCGGGGCGACCAACTACAGGGGTGGGGGAACCCTTAACCCCTGGAAGACCAAGCTACAGGGGGGGGAACTGTTCTTTCCGCTGGCACCAACACAGGGGGGGGAACGTTCTTACCGCTGGACGACCAACGAAGGAGGGGAATGTCTTACCGCTGGGCAGACCAAGGACGGGATGGGGGAAATGTTTTTTCCGTGGGCAACCAAGCCAGGGAGGGAATGTCTTATCGCTGGAAAAACCAGCTACAGGGGGGGGGAACTGTTTTTAGCGGCAGACCAAGGACAGGGGATGGGGGGAAATTTTTTTACCGGGGACAGACCCAAAGGGCATGGTGGGAACTTTTTACCGTGGGCGACCCAAACGACGGGGTGGGGAAAATTTTTACCGCTGGGCAGCCAAACGAAGGATGGGGACGTTTTTCCGCTGGACAGACCAAGCGACAGGTGGGGAAAGTTCTTACCCTGGAAGCCAAGGCAGGGATGGGGAACTGTTTTTACCGTGGACAACCAACGACGGGATGGGGAACTGTTCTTACCGCGGACGACCAGCGGGCAGGGGGTGGGGAACGTTCTTTCCCCTGGCAGACCAAGTACAGGGATGGGGAACTGTCTTACCGCTGGCAGACCCAACTACGGGATGGGGAACTTTCTTACCCCGGAAACCAAGCGACAGGGATGGGGAAAAAGTTCTTACCGCGGGGCAAACCCGGACAGGGAGGGGAACTGTTCTTACCGCTGGACCCAAGCTACAGGGATGGGGAATGTTCTTTCCCCGGACAGACCAAAGGCGGGGGGGGAACTTTTTTTACCGGGAAACCAAGAAAAAGGGATGGGGGGGCGTTCTTACCCCCGGGAAAAGACCAAACTACAGGGATGGGGAATGTTTTACCCCCGGACAGACCCAAACAAGGGGGGGGAACTGTTCTTACCGTGGACAACCCAAACAAGGGGTGGGGAATGTCTAACGCTGGGACCCAAACTAAGGGGTGGGGAAAAGTTTTAAACCCCTGGACGACCCCGCTACAGGGTGGGGGAATTTTTACCCGGACGACCAAGCTACAGGGATGGGGAATTTTTTTTACCGTGGAAAAACCCCCAAGCACAGGGGTGGGGAAAAGTTTTACCGCGGACAACAAGCTACGGATGGGGGAATGTTTTTTTCCGGGGACAACCAAGCTACAGGGGTGGGGGAAATGTTCTTACCGTGGGCAACAAACACAGGGTGGGGAAAAGTTTTACCCCGGACAACCAAGCACAGGGGTGGGGAAATTTCTTAAAAGTGGACAGACCCCGCGAAAGGGGTGGGGGGAAATTTTTACCCTGGGGAAACCCAAGACAGGGATGGGAATGTTCTTACCCCTGGCAACCAAGCGACAGGGGTGGGGAAAGTTTTACCGCGGAAACCAAGCACAGGGATGGGGAAATGTTTTTGGGACGACCAAACTACAGGGGGGAAAAGTTCTTCCGTGGACAGACCAAGCTAAGGGGGGGGAAGTTTTTTACCGCGGACAGACCAAGGAAGGGTGGGGGGAAAGTTCTTACCGGGAAACCAACGAAGGATGGGGAAAAAAAGTTCTTACCGCTGGACAACCAAGTACCGGGAGGGGAAAAAAAACCCGTTCTTACCCCTGGGCAACCAAACTACAGGGATGGGAATGTTCTTACGCTGGACAGACCCAAACTACAGGGGTGGGGAACTGTTCTTTTCCGCTGCCCCGACCAAGCACGGGATGGGGAACTTTCTTTACCGTGGACGACCAAGCTACAGGGAGGGGAACTTTCTTACCGGGCGACCCAAGCTACGGGAGGGGGAAGTTCTTACCCCCGGGGCAACCAAGCACAGGGGGGGGAACGTTCTTACCCTGGAAGACCCAAGCAAGGGGTGGGGTGTTTTACGTGGACAGACCAAGCACAGGGAGGGGGTGTTTTTTACCCCGGAAGACCAAACCAGGGATGGGGAATGTTTTAACCCCCCGACAGCCCAAACGACAGGGAGGGGGGTGTTTACCGCGACAGACCAAGCGAAGGGTGGGGAATGTTTTTTTTACCGGGACAGCCAAAGGGCGGGGGGGGAAATTTCTTACCCCTGGGGCAGAAAACACGGGGTGGGGGGAACGTTCTTACCGCGGGCAAAAAGCTACGGGATGGGGAAGTTCTTACCGCTGGACAGACCAAGTAAAAGGGGTGGGGAATGTTTTACCGCGGACGACCAAGCTACAGGATTGGGAAATGTTTTTACGCTGGAAGACCAAAACTACAGGGGTGGGGAACTGTTTTACCGTGGACAGACCAAGTACAGGGGTGGGGAACTGTTCTTTTCCGGGACAGACCCCGACAGGGATGGGGAACTGTTTTTTACCCCGGACAAACCCAAACGACAGGGGGGGGGAAACTGTTCTTACCCCGGACGACCAAGCGACAGGGGTGGGGGAAGTTCTTAGCTGGACAACAAGAAGGGATGGGGAAAAGTTCTACCGCTGGAAACAAGCTACAGGGGTGGGGAAAATGTTTTAACCGTGGGCAAAACCAAGCAAGGGGTGGGGAAAATTTCTTACGCTGGGCAACCAGCACAGGGATGGGAAGTTTTACCCCTGGAAGACCAAACTAAGGGGGGGGGGAACGTTCCGGCTGGACAGACCAAGAAAAGGATGGGAACTGTTCTTACCGTGGAAGACCAAAATAAGGGGTGGGAAGTTCTTACCGTTGGGCAACCAAGCTACGGATGGGGGAATGTTTAGCTGGACAGACCCAAAAACAGGGATGGGGAACTGTTCTTACCGCTGGACAGACCCAAACTACAGGGAGGGGAACTGTTTACCGCTGGACAGACCAAGCTAAGGGGTGGGGAAAATTTCTTTCCCCTGGAAGACCCAACAAGGGAGGGGGAAAGTTTTTACCCCCGGACAGACCAAGCGAAGGGGTGGGGAACTTTTTTACCCCTGGACAACCAACGACAGGGATGGGGGCTGTTCTTAACGCGGAAGACCCAAGCCAGGGGGGGGGGGGAACTGTTCTTCCCCCCGGGAAAAACCAAGTACGGGGGGGGAACTGTTCTTACCCCGGACAGAACCCAAATACAGGGATGGGGAACTGTTTTACCGCTGGACAGGGCCAAGCTCAGGGAGGGGGAACGTTCTTTCCCCTGGCGGGGCCAAATACAGGGGGGGGGGAAAAATGTTTTTACGTGGACAGACCAAGCACAGGGTGGGGGAATGTTCTTCCCCGGACAGCCAAGCCAGGGGGTGGGGGAAGTTCTTTTCCCCTGGACGACCAAAACGACAGGGGTGGGGGGGAAATGTTTAACGCGGACAACCAAGTACAGTGATGGGGAACTGTTCCTTTGGGGTTGAGCATCTCCTGTGTTAGTTCTACGGGGGGGGGTGGGCCCAGACTGTTAGAGCTGCCCCCAACTACTATGGTCAGGGCCTCTGGCATGGGACTCCAACCAAAGCACGCTTTTGTGAGAGGAGAGGAAAAGGGCGGAAACATCCGTTTCAAGGGGAAATTTTTTCCCACGCTCGGCCACCAACCCCGTGGGCAACACACGGAGTAGTTTTCATGAAAAAACTCAAATCCTTGTAAAACCCCTTTCTTACGGGGGAGAGTGGTAACCCCATAAAAGGGGGCCATGAAGTCACGGCTGGAGACTTCTTTTGGCGGTTCTTGAGCAAATGTGAAAAGGGGGTGGGGAAAAAAAGGGTTGTTAGAGGATCATCTCGATGAAACCGTTGAGGACTGTTCTGTGTAAACCGTTGAGATGTCTCTGATGTAAAACCCTTAGAGGGTCTCGATTTTAAACCCTTAGGGCCGCCCCTGTGTAAAAGTTAGAGGGATCGTCCTGATTTTAAACGTTAGAGGACTATCTCGTGTAAACCCTTAAGGACTCGTCTCTGAGAAACCCTTTTGAGGACTGTCCTTTATGTAAACCTTAAGGGCCCCTCCTTTATGTAACCGTGAGGACTCGTTCTGAGTAAAAAGTTTTGAGGACTCGTCTTGGTTAAACAGTAGAGGCTGTCTCTGAGTAAACCCTTGAGGAGTCTCTGATGTAAACCGTTAGAGGACTCATCTCTGATGTAAACCGTTTTAGCAGGTGGCTATAGATCACCAATACTAGCTTTACACTTATTTTTTTTTTACACAAAATAATAAAGTAAATTGACTACTTCAAAATGGGGATAGCTTCAACGGCGCGTGCTGTCACAGACGCCATAATGGCACAGCTACAAAGAGGAGTTCTCTAGCTATCTCTATGGGCTGGAAAACACAATGTAGGATGTAATCTACAGAACAGCATGTCACCAACAGGTTGGGTCAATTCCAATGTACCCATTTTGCGCAACTAATGGAAAGATGGATGGAAAGATGGATAGACTGGACTGTCTGTCTGTCTGTCTGTCTGACTGACTCACTCACTGACGGACCGATGGACTGACGGATCATTCTCGATCCTGATCAACTGATGGACCTATCAGTAGTTCTGCTACAGTACCTGGAACCCTGCCAGGGTGATGGAGAAGGAGACGTCCAGTGGTTTGTTGACCACCCCCACCACAGACTGACAGAGACATGAAGAGTAGAGGGAACCAAATGATACAGATGAGAAGCATGACGATCATCCCTCCCATCCCATACTTCACCACCGCTTCTTAGCTTGCCCCGCGGCTGGGGGTACCTCTGGAGGAGAGAGGAGCCTAAGTTATGGCTGAGGGTACCACTGGAGGGGAGAGGAGGACTATAGTTATGGGCTGAGGGTACACTCGGGAGGGGAGAGGAGGACTATAGTTATGGGCTGGAGGTATCACTGGAGGGGAGGGGAGGAGGAGACGAGAGGACTATAGTTATGGGCTGAGGGTACCTCTGGAGGGGGAGAGGAGACTATAGTTATGGGCTGAGGGTACCTGGAGGAGGGAGAGGACTATATTAGGAGGGTACCCTGGAGGGGAGAGGAGGACTATAGTTATGGGCTGAGGTACCCTGGAGGGAGGGGAGAGGAGGACTATAGTTATGGGCTGAGGGTACCTCTGGAGGGGGGAGAGGAGGACTATAGTTAGGGCTGAGGGTACCTCTGGAGGAGGGGAGAGGAGGACTTTTAGTTAGTGGGTACCTCTGGAGGGGAGAGAGGACTATAGTTATGGGCTGAGGGTACCTCTGGAGGGGGAGAGGAGGACTATAGTTATGGGCTGAGGGTACCTCTGGAGAGGAGGGGGAGAGGAGGACTATAGTTACGGGCTGAGAGTACCTCTGGAGGAAGGGGGAGAGGAGGACTATAGTTATGGGCTGGGGTATACTGGAGGGGAGAGGAGGGGAGAGGAGGACTATAGTTATGGGCTGGGGTACCCTGAGAGGGAGAGAGGACTATAGTTAGGGCTGAGGTACCTGGAGGGGAGAGGAGGACTATAGTTATGGGCTGGGGGAGGGGTAACTCTGGAGGGGAGGAGAGGAGGACTATAGTTATGGGCTGGGGTACCACTGGAGGGGAGAGGAGGACTATAGTTATGGGCTGAGGGTACCTCTGGAGGGGAGGAGGACTATAGTTATGGGCTGAGGGTACCTCTGGAGGGGGGGAGAGGGGACTATAGTTATGGGCTGAGGGTACCTCTGGAGAGGGAGAGGAGGACTATAGTTATGGGCTGAGGGTACCTCTGGAGGGGGAGAGGAGGACTATAGTTATGGGCTGAGGGTACCTCTGGAGGGGGAGGGAGGACTATAGTTATGGGCTGAGGGTACCTCTGGGAGGGGGAGAGGAGGACTATAGTTACGGGCTGAGAGTACCTCTGGAGGGGGAGAGGAGGACTATAGTTATGGGCTGGGGGTACCTCTGGAGGGGAGGGGAGAGGAGGACTATAGTTATGGGCTGAGGGTACCTCTGGAGGGGGAGAGGAGGACTATAGTTATGGGCTGAGGGTACCTCTGGAGGGGTACTAGTTACGGGCTGAGATACCTCTGAGGAGGGGGAGAGGAGGACTATAGTTATGGGCTGAGGGTACTCTGGAGGGGAGGGAGAGGAGGACTATAGTTATGGGCTGAGGTACCACTGGAGGGAGAGGAGGACTATAGTTATGGGCTGAGGGTACCTCTGGAGGGGAGAGAGGAGGACTATAGTTATGGGCTGAGGGTACCTCTGGAGGGGACGGGAGAGGAGGACTATAGTTATGGGCTGAGGGTACCACTGGAGAGGGAGAGGAGGACTATAGTTACGGGCTGAGGGTACCTCTGGAGAGGGGAGAGGAGGACTATAGTTATGGGCTGAGGGTACCTCTGGAGGGGGGAGAGGAGGACTATAGTTATGGGCTGAGGGTACCACTGGAGAGGGAGAGGAGGACTATAGTTATGGGCTGAGGGTACCACTGGAGGGGAGAGGAGGAGGACTATAGTTATGGGCTGAGGGTACCTCTGGAGGGGAGGAGAGGAGGACTATAGTTATGGGCTGAGGGTACCCTGGAGAGGGGGGAGGGACTATAGTTATGGGCTGAGGGTACCTCTGGAGGGGGGAGAGGAGGACTATAGTTAGGGCTGAGGGTACCTCTGGAGGGGAGGGAGAGGAGACTATAGTTATGGGCTGGGGTACACTGGAGAGGAGAGGAGGACTATAGTTAGGCTGAGGTACCCTGGAGGGGAGAGGAGGACTATAGTTATGGGCTGAGGGTACCTCTGGAGGGGAACGAGGAGAGGAGGACTATAGTTATGGCTGAGGGGTACCACTGGAGGGGAAGAGGAGGACTATAGTTATGGGCTGGGGGTACCTCTGGAGGGGGAGAGGAGACTATAGTTATGGGCTGAGGGTACCTCTGGAGGGGGAGAGGACTATAGTTATGGCTGGGGTACCTTGGAGGGAGGGAGAGGAGGACTATAGTTATTGGTCTGGAGGGTAACTTCTGGAGGGGAGGGGAGAGGAGGACTATAGTTATGGGCTGGGGGTACCACTGGAGGAGGAGGGGGAGGAGACTATAGTTATGGGCTGAGGGTACCTCTGGAGGGAGGGGGGGGAGAGGAGGACTATAGTTATGGCTGAGGTACTCTGGAGGGGAGAGAGGACTAGTTATGGACTGGGGATCTGGAGGGAGGAGAGGAGGACTATAGTTATGGGACTGGGGGTACTCTGGAGGGGAGGGGAGGAGGACTATAGTTATGGGCTGAGGGTACCTGGAGGGGAGGGGAGAGGAGGACTATAGTTATGGGCTGAGGGTACCTCTGGAGGGAGGGAGAGGAGGACTATAGTTATGGGCTGAGGTACCTGGAGGGGGAGAGGGGTAGAGGATGGGACTATAGTATTGGAGGAGGTTGGGTAGTACCTGGAGGGGAGAGGAGGACTATAGTTATGGGCTGAGGGTACCTCTGGAGGGGAGGGGGAGAGGAGGACTATAGTTATGGGCTGAGGGTACCTGGAGAGGAGGGGGAGAGGAGGACTATAGTTATGGGCTGAGGGTACCACTGGAGGGGAGGGGAGGGGAGAGGAGGACTATAGTTATGGGCTGGGGGTACCTCTGGAGGGAGGGGGAGAGGAGGACTATAGTTATGGGCTGAGGGTACATCTGGAGAGGAGGGGGAGAGGAGGACTATAGTTATGGGCTGAGGGTACCTCTGGAGGGAGGGGAGAGGAGGACTATAGTTATGGGCTGAGGGTACCTCTGGAGGGAGGGGAGAGGAGGACTATAGTTATGGGCTGAGGGTACCTCTGGAGAGGAGGGGAGAGGAGGACTATAGTTATGGGCTGAGGGTACCTCTGGAGGAGGGAGAGGAGGACTATAGTTATGGGCTGAGGTACCTCTGGAGGGGGAGAGGAGGACTATAGTTATGGGCTGAGGGTACCTCTGGAGGGGGAGAGGAGGACTATAGTTATGGGCTGAGGGTACTCTGGAGGGGAGGGGAGAGGAGGACTATAGTTATGGGCTGAGGGTACCACTGGAGGGGGGGAGAGGAGGACTATAGTTATGGCTGAGGGTACCCTGGAGGAGGAGGGGGAGAGGAGGACTATAGTTATGGGCTGAGGGTACCTCTGAAGTGAGGGGGAGAGGAGGACTATAGTTATGGGCTGAGGGTACCTCTGGAGAGGAGGGGAGAGGAGGACTATAGTTATAGGCTGAGGGTACCTCTGGAGAGGAGGGGGAGAGGAGGACTATAGTTATGGGCTGAGGGTACCACTGGGAGGGAGGTGAGGGAGGAGGAGGGAGACTATAGTTATGGGCTGAGGGTACCTCTGGAGGGGAGGGGAGAGGAGGACTATAGTTATGGGCTGAGGGTACCTCTGGAGGGAGGGGAGAGGAGGACTATAGTTATGGGCTGAGGGTACCTCTGGAGGGAGGGGAGAGGAGGACTATAGTTATGGGCTGAGGGTACCTCTGGAGGGAGGGGAGAGGAGGACTATAGTTATGGCTGAGGGTACTCTGGAGGGGAGGGAGAGGAGGACTATAGTTATGGGCTGAGGGTACCACTGGAGGGGAGGGGAGAGGAGGACTATAGTTATGGGCTGAGGGTATCTCTGGAGGGGGGAGGGTACACTGGAGGGGGAGAGGAGGACAATAGTTATGGGCTGAGGGTACCACTGGAGGGAGGGGGAGAGGAGGACTATAGTTATGGGCTGAGGTACCTCTGGAGGGAGGGGAGAGGAGGACTATAGTTATGGGCTGAGGGTACCTCTGGAGGGAGGGGGAGAGGAGGACTATAGTTATGGGCTGAGGGTACCCTGGAGGGGAGGGAGAGGAGGACTATAGTTATGGGCTGAGGGTACTCTGGAGGGGAGGGGAGAGGAGGACTATAGTTAGGGCTGAGGTACCTGGAGGGAGGAGGGAGAGGAGGACTATAGTTATGGGCTGAGGGTACCTCTGGAGGGGACGGGAGAGGAGGACTATAGTTATGGGCTGAGGGTACCCTGAGGAGGAGAGAGGGTAGTGGCTGGGGACAGAGGAGGGGAGGACTATAGTTATGGGCTGAGGGATACCCTGGAGGGGAGGGGTGAGAGGAAGGGAATGACTAGTTATGGCTGAGGGTACCTACTGGAGGGGAGGGAGAGGAGGACTATAGTTATGGGCTGAGGGTACTCTGGAGGAGAGGGAGAGGAGGACTATAGTTTGGGCTGAGGGTACCTCTGGAGAGGGGGTCTGAGTCGAGGGGGAGAGGAGGACTATAGTTATGGGCTGAGGTAACCCCTGGAGGGGAGGGAGAGGAGGACTTATTAGGCTGAGGGTACTCTGGAGGGGAGGGGAGGAGGGACTATAGTTATGGGCTGGAGGGTAACTCTGGAGGGGAGGGGAGAGGAGGACTATAGTTATGGGCTGGAGGTAACTCTGGAGGGGAGGGGAGAGGAGGACTATAGTTATGGGCTGAGGGTACCTCTGGAGGGGAGGGGGAGAGGAGGACTATAGTTATGGGCGCTGAGGGTACCTCTGGAGGGGAGAGGAGAGGAGGACTATAGTTATTGGCTGAGGGTACCTCTGGAGGGGAGGGGAGAGGAGGAGGAGGAAATGGCACACCTGTTCCGTATAAAGTGACCAGGGCCCAAGTAGTCCATAGGCAATATGGTACCAATGGGTCCTGGTCAAAAGTAGTGCGCTATGTAGGGAATAAGGTGCCATTTGGGATGCATCCATAGACTTATGTGATGTAAGGTGGTTGGTTCGGTGTATCACACTCCCATGACGAGTGGGTTGGTCTTGTATCCTCCCCTGTCCATGGTTATCTGGGTAATCTTGCCTTAGATCTGAAGACTTGTCTTAACTCCCAGAGCTAATGTTTAAATCAAATCAAACTTTGCAACACAAATGCAGGTTGTAATTTTTATTTATTTATTTAACAGAAGGCAGTGGGCCTTCTTGGGCTTTAGCTCAGTGGGCTAAGCTAACACAGTCTTGTGGCGCAGTGGGCAGAGCTCGGGTTCGAACTTCGAACCCTGTTGGTCCCACATACACAGACACATGAACAGGGGAGGATACACAACCAACCCTCTCTGACTCCCTCCAGCACTTGAGGACGAAGATGTGTGCGTAGATGTCTTCCACACAGATCCAGGAGGATAAGGACAGGGAGGTGTCGGTCCAGACCCAGTCCATCACTGCACGCAGCTCAGTCAGGAACGGGATCAGACGGAACCTGGAGGTGAACACACACACCCACACACACACACCTGGGTTGTGACACTGGCTCTCAAATCATAGCCTCTTTCTCACATACAGTATAGCATGTTGAATTATGCAAGGGAGACTTTCTGACAACAAAGTCACTACTGGTCGAGTCCAAGTCCGAGTCACCATTGGTCGAGTCCGGGTCATGTTACACGTCATGAAAATTGTCCAAGTCAAGTCAGAGTCCTGGAGTCAAGTCAGAGTCAAGTCAGAGTCCTGGAGTCAAGTCACAGTCCTGGAGTCAAGTCACAGTCCTGGAGTCAAGTCAGAGTCAAGTCAGAGTCCTGGAGTCAAGTCAGAGTCCTGAAGTCAAGTCAGAATCCTGGAGTCAAGTCCTGGAGTCAAGTCAGAGTCAAGTCAGAGTCCTGAAATCAAGTCAGAATCCTGGAGTCAAGTCCTGGAGTCAAGTCAGAGACCTGGAGTCAAGTCACAGTCCTGGAGTCAGAGTCCTGGAGTCAAGTCAGAGTCCTGGAGTCAAGTCCTGGAGTCAAGTCAGAGTCCTGAAGTCAAGTCAGAATCCTGGAGTCAAGTCCTGGAGTCAAGTCAGAGTCAAGTCAGAGTCCTGGAGTCAAGTCAGAATCCTGGAGTCAAGTCAGAGTCCTGAAGTCAAGTCAGAGTCCTGGAGTCAGAGTCCTGAAGTCAAGTCAGAATCCTGGAGTCAAGTCAGAGTCAAGTCAGAGTCCTGGAGTCAAGTCAGAATCCTGGAGTCAAGTCAGAGTCCTGGAGTCAGAGTCCTGGAGTCAAGTCAGAGTCCTGGAGTCAAGTCCTGGAGTCAAGTCAGAGTCCTGGAGTCAAGTCAGAATCCTGGAGTCAAGTCAGAGTCCTGGAGTCAAGTCAGAGTCCTGGAGTCAAGTCCTGGAGTCAAGTCAGAGTCCTGGAGTCAAGTCAGAGTCCTGGAATAGGGAGTGATTTGAGACGTGCACACAGTGCAACAGTGATAAACTCCTCTATGTTTAATGTGAGTTGAATGTCCTACTACCCCCCACAGTGTCCTAACTCAATGGTTCCCATACCCGGCCAGGTTCCAGGTTCCCTGCTACAACAGATTAAATGAATTTGGCCAAGAGGTCTGTCGAAGACTGCAAGGGTTCCCAAACCTTTTCACTCAGGCCCCCCCCTTGCAGCATTGGGGAACATCCCGCCTCCCATCCCCCTCCACGTCTATTTCTAAGGGCCCAAGCACTGTTCATGACACAAACTGTTCCCACCCCTCTTGTTGGCGGAGAGAACATTTTGCAGGTTTAAAGCTTATTTCCTCCAATTCTACACATTTTGTCATGGGGTGCAGACAACATTTTGCAGTTTTAAAGCACATTTTCTTGCAATTCTAAAACATTTTACCATTTCTAATGTGTATTCATTTGATATTTGAGTGACTCAAACATTGCAATAATATCCATGGGCTATTTGGACATTTCTGACGAGTTATAAGTAGCTCTCTAAGGTATGCAATGACTGACATGACAAGAGGAATACTGATGATGCACTAACCCAATTTTGAAATTGCACCTTGTGCATTCTACTATTACAACTTTCAACAGTAAGTTTAAAGCCGGACTGAGTTCCCCCGCGAATTTGCTGTCACAAATGGGGTCCCTGGCCCGAAAAACGCTTGGGAACCCCTGTCCTAACTCACCCTTGAAACAGGAAGAGGTTGGCGTAGTTGTAGCTCTTGGTGAGGAAGTTACCCAGGACTCTGGTGGGGTAGCCACAGCGGATCTGATAGGCTGACAGCCCAAAGTAGATACACTTGATAAAGTACCACAGCTTGGCCACTGTGTTCTCATTGAAACGCCTGCAAAGTGGACAGAGGTATACATACTGTTAAGCAAGGTTACTAATGATAAACACAGTTACTAATGACATAACACTGCTACTAATGATGAATCCTTAATCGATCACGAGCCCCTACCCCCTAGGGAGATCTGAAAGAACTGGATATGTTTACAAATGAACTAATTCAACAACTAATTGAGCAAGCAATCAACCAATAAATCAGATTTATTAACTAATTTACTCCGCAAGGTGAGTATTTACCTCTCAGAGAGTCCGGGCAGGATGAAGAACATCCAGAAGTGTATCCCGAATACCAGGACCACCTGGAAGATGACCTTCCCCAGCACTGTCTTCTTGAGGTACAGGGCCCGGTCCACCACCATTGTCCCAAACTGGATCAGAACCATCACCAGGAAGGCTCCGGGAACCTGGTCCTCCGACAGGGACGACGTGATGTCTGCTCCCGCCGAGTGTTTCTGACGGATACGATAAGAAAAGATGAGATAAGGTAAGATAAGAGGATTTGTAGATGTTCAACTCTGGGTTAGCGTTAGTGTATAGCTCTAGCCCTAGAGGTAAATACCCAAAAGAGACTAGACATACCCCAAAAGAGACTAGACATACCCCAAAAGAGACCAGACATACCCCAAAAGAGACCAGACATACCCCAAAAGAGACCAGAACATACCCCAAAAGAGACCAGACATACCCCAAAAGAGACATACCCAAAAGAGACCAGACATACCCCAAAAGAGACCAGACATACCCCAAAAGAGACTAGACATACCTCAAAAGAGACCAGACATACCCCAAAAGAGACTAGACATACCCAAAAGAGACCAGACATACCCCAAAAGAGACCAGACATACCCCAAAAGAGACTAGACATACCTCAAAAGAGACCAGACATACCCCAAAAGAGACTAGACATACCTCAAAAGAGACCAGATATACCCCAAAAGAGACTAGACATACCCAAAAGAGACCAGACATACCCCAAAAGAGACCAGACATACCCCAAAAGAGACTAGACACTACCCCAAAAGAGACCAGACTACCCAAAAGAGACCAGACATACCCCAAAAGAGACCAGACATACCCAAAAGAGACCAGACATACCCCAAAAGAGACCAGACATACCCCAAAAGAGACTAGACATACCCCAAAGAGACCAGACATACCCCAAAAGAGACCAGACATACCCCAAAAGAGACCAGACATACCCCAAAAGAGACTAGACATACCTCAAAAGAGACCAGACATACCTCAAAAGAGACCAGACATACCCCAAAAGAGACCAGACATACCCCAAAAGAGACCAGACATACCTCAAAAGAGACCAGACATACCTCAAAAGAGACTAGACATACCTCAAAAGAGACCAGACATACCCCAAAAGAGGACCAGACATACCCAAAAGAGACCAGACATACACAAAAGAGACCAGACATACCCCAGAAGAGACCAGACATACCCCAGAAGAGACCAGACATACCCCAAAAGAGACCAGACATACCCCAAAAGAGACCAGACATACCCCAAAAGAGACCAGACATACCCCAGAAGAGACCAGACATACCCCAGAAGAGACTAGACATACCCCAAAAGAGACCAGACAGACACTACCAGTCAAAAGTTTGGACACACCTACTCATTCAAGGGTTTTTCTTTATTTTTACTATTTTCTACATTGTAGAATAATAGTGAAGACATCAAAACTGTGAAATAACACATATGGAATCATGTAGTAACCAAAAAATGTTAAACAAATCAAAATATATTTTATTTTTGAGATTCTTCAAAGTAGCCACCCTTTGCCTTGATGACAGCTTTGCACACTCTTGGCATTCTCTCAACCAGCTTCATGAGGTAGTCACCTGAATGCATTTCAATTAACAGGTGTGCCTTCTTAAAAGTTCATTTGTGGAATTCTTTCCTTCTTAATGCGTTTGAGCCAATCAGTTGTGTTGTGACAAGGTAGGGGGGTATACAGAAGATAGCCCTATTTGGTAAAATACCAAGTCCATATTATGGCAAGAACAGCTCAAATAAGCAAAGAGAAATGACAGTCCATCATTACTTTAAGACATGAAGGTCAGTCAATACGGAAAATGTCAAGAACTTTGAAAGTTTCTTCAAGTGCAGTCGCAAAAACCATCAAGCGCTATGATGATACTGGCTCTCATGAATACCACCACAGGAATGGAAGACCCAGAGTTACCTCTGCTGCAGAGGATATGTTCATTATAGTTACCAGCCTCAGAAATTGCAGCCCAAATAAATGCTTCACAGAGTTCAAGTAACAGACACATCTCAACATCAACTGTTCAGAGGACACTGTGTGAATCAGGCTTTCATGGTTGAATTGCTGCAAAGAAACCACTACTAAAGGACACCAATATTAAGAAGAGACCTGCTTGGGCCAAGAAACACGAGCAATGGACATTAGACCGGTGGAAATCTGTCCTTTGGTCTGGAGTCCAAATTTGGGATTTTTGGTTCAAACCGGCATGTCTTTGTGAGACGCGGTGTGGGTGAACGGATGATCTCCTCATGTGTACTTCCCACCGTAAAGCATGGAGGAGGAGGTGTTATGGTGTGGGGGTGCTTTGCTGGTGACACTGTCTGTGATTTATTTAGAATTCAAGGCACACTTCACCAGCATGGCTACCACAGCTTTGTTTTTCAACAGGAAAATGTCCCAACACACCTCAACCAAATGGAGATGGTTTGGAACGAGTCGGACCGCAGAGTGAAGGAAAAGCAGCCAACAAGTGCTCAGCATATGTGGGAATTCCTTCAAGACTGTTGGAAAAGCATTCCAGGTGAAGCTGGTTGAGAGAATGCCAAGAGTGTGCAAAGCTGTCATCAAGGCAAAGGGTGACTATTTGAAGAATCTCAAATATAAAATATATTTTGATTTGTTTAACACTTTTTTGGTTACTACATGATTCCCATATGTGTTATTTCATAGTTTTGATGTCTTCGCTATTATTCTACAATGTAGAAAATAGTAAAAAAAATTAAGAAAAACCCTTGAATGAGTAGGTGTTCTAAAACCTTTGAACGGTAGTGTACATACCCCCCAAGAGAGACCAGACGTACATACCCCAAAAGCGGAGAAGCCGAAGACGATGATGATGAAGTCAACGGTGTCGGCCAGGAACATGAGGACATAGACGTCTGTCACAGCGCTGTACTCTGGGTGCACCAGGTCGTAGAAGAACTGACGGACAGGGAGGTAGACCTCCATGGTCCTGGAGAGACAATGATACAAATAAAAATCAATCAACCAATCAACCAAAATGTAAATGTAAACGTAAACCAATTAACCAACTAATCAGTCAGTCAATCAACCAATCAATCATTCAACCAGTCAATCCCACCTCTTGATAGTGAAGGTCTTGGCTTTGATCATCTGTTCTCTGAGTTTCTCCATGATCAGCTGTTTCTTAGTCTTCTGCTGCACTGACTCACTCCCGTCTCTATGGCTACTGTTCCTGGAATTAGTGCTGCCTGGGGAAACCATGGCAATGCATGTTACAACCCTATTGTACTGTAAAGCAAAGTAAAGTTAGTGGTAAAGTACGTTAGTGGCAAAGTTAAGTAAGTTAGTGGCTAAGTGAAGTAAGTTAGTAGCAAAGTAAAGTAAGTTAGCGGCAAAGTAAAGTAAGTTGGTGGCAAAGTAAAGTAAGTTGGTGGCAAAGTAAAGTAAGTTAGTGGCAAATAAAGTAAGTTGGTGGCAAAGTAAAGTAGGTTAGTGGCAAAGTAAAGTAAATTAGTGGCAAAGTAAAGTAAGTTAGTGGCAAAGTAAAGTAAGTTTGTGGCAAAGTAAAGTAAGTTTGTGGCAAAGTAAAGTAAGTTAGTGGCAAAGTAAAGTAAGTTTGTGGCAAAGTAAAGTAAAGTTAGTGGCAAAGTAAAGTAAGTTAGTGGCAAAGTAAAATAAAGTAAGTTAGTGGCTAAGTAAAGTAAGTTAGTGGCAAAGTAAAATAAAGTAAGTTAGTGGCAAAGTAAAGTAAGTTAGTGGCAAAGTAAAGTAAGTTTGTGGCAAAGTAAAGTAAGTTTGTGGCAAAGTAAAGTAAAGTAAGTTAGTGGCAAAGTAAAGTAAGTTAGTGGCAAAGTAAAATAAAGTAAGTTAGTGGCTAAGTAAAGTAAGTTGGTGGCAAAGTAAAGTAAGTTTGTGGTTAAGTAAAGTAAGTAGAAAAGTACAGTAAAGTAAAGTCAATAGCTAAGTAAAGTATAGTAAAGTAAATAGCTAAGAAAAGTAAAGTAAATTAAATAGATAACTAAAGTACAGAAAAGTAAATTAAAGTAAACTTCGCTCTAACAATTAAAATACATTTCTTAAAAAATGAAAGGCAGTCGGGAGGAGGCAAGATCAGGTGGGACCATTCTAGCCAATGAGAGGGAAGATACGCTTGTGAACAACTGGCACAACCATAACCAAATTCGACAATCTCTCCTGACCTCTATACAAAAACTCCAGGCTTAGTGGGTGAAAAAAAAAGAAGAAAAACGGCCAACCTGCTGGAGAAGACAGATTTTGGGCGTAGTTAACCCTCTTGCTTTGCCTCTTCCTCTCTGGCTGAGCGGCCCTGTGCGTGTGAATTGATGAATAGAAAGCATCAAGGGAGGGGTTTTACTGAGCATCTACCACTATCAGATTAGGGGAGGGTGTTTTTGACTGAGATCTACCACTATCAGATTAGGAGGGGTTTTTTTTGACTGAGCATCTACCACTATCAGATTAGGGAGGGTGGTGTTTTTGACTGAGCATCTACCACTATCAGATTAGGGAGGGGTGTTTTTGACTGAGCATCTACCACTATCAGATTAGGGAGGGGTGTTTTTGACTGAGCATCTACCACTATCAGATTAGGGAGGGGTGTTTTTTTGGGTTTAGCTCTACCCCTATAAAATTAGGGGGGGGGTTTTGAATGAGATTTTACCCTATCAGATTTGGGAGGGGGTTGTTTTTGACTGAGCATCTACCACTATTTAGATTAGGGGGGGTGTTTTTTACCCGAGAATTTCCACTATCAGATTGGGAGGGGTGTTTTTGACCCCGAGAAAACTAAACCAAAATATGATTAGGGGGGGTGTTTTTGGAAAGAGCATATACCACTATCAGATTTTGGGAGGGGTTGGTTTTTTAGGGGAAATTTCCAATATCAGATTTGGGAGGGATGTTTTGGGCTGAGCAAATTTACCCCTATAAATTTTTAGGGGGGGGGGGGGGGTGTTTTTTTTGGTTTCCCCCCCCCTTTTTATTTTTGAAACCCATAAACCCCCCGGGTTAACCTGTCATACATCCCTAATTAACTTGATTAAAACCAAAAAAAACTAAGTTTAACATTTTTAAATGTTTTTCAGGGGTAATTGGACTCGTTTTCCCGGAAAAATAGGGTTTTGTCCCCACGTCACTACTTCACAGGAGAGCCATTTGAACGTTAACTTTTTTGGCAGAAATGCCTTCTGGAACATGTGAACTGCCATGTGTCTTAATAACAAACTTGTATGCCATCTGTAAATACGAATACAATTGTTAAATTACGAGCCTAGTTGGTTTAGCCACAGAAAAAGACAGCAACCTTCCCGCTAGCCATGATTGGCTGAGATATTGAGTGGGCTGGACATGCCAAGAGATGAGTTCGGATTGGTCTGCCATGTAACACGCTTCTGTCTATAATATGAGCTGGTCAGTATGTGTAGGTAATCCTTTCTAACGCAGCTTTTTAAAAAAGATTTCACGTAGTAGAACTGCATAAGTGTTGCTCTCCACTTTCTGGAGGACCGAGTTTTGAAATCAGTGGAATTAGAGTATGATAGCTAAGGAGATGGAGAAAATTCTGCCGTTTGATTGCAAATATGCGGAGGGAGTCGAAAAGAGAACACACAGAGAAGGCTGTTGTATAAAACACCTGTCTCCGGATTACATCTTCAAACTAAGGGCAACCGTGACAGAGAGGGAGAAGCGTCCATCCATGTATACGGGTAAGATAGTCTAGCTAGCTAAATTTTCAGATATTAAACGTTTCTAATTGTGTCAGAAAGTCGTTTTCATTTCAAGTTAAAGTGTACTGTTAGCTAGCCTACTAACGTTAGCTGGCTGGCTAGCTAGCTAACGTTACGTGTATGATCTGTGTATTAATATTATTTGTATCTCAGAGACATTTGCATTGCTAGTTATAGCCTAATGTTAGCTAGCTAGCTAACATTGAACCTGGTTGGTTAGCTACCTGCAGATTCATGCAGGGTAGTAACATTATGAGTTGGGATTATGGTTCATTGTTTAGTTAGCTAGCTACACGTCTAAACAAAAAGACTCCACTACGCAAGTAACGTTAACCATTTCAATAGAATGTTCATGATGTCACTGCGACAACTGTCAATAGACATAGCTGGTAAATTTGCGCTGGCTATCTACTCTGATTTCAGAGCACTCTCATCTGAGTTTGCCAGAGCGCAGAATAACTGACGAATTGACGAACGCTCAACACCGTTGAATATGGCCGGTGTCAGTAAACATTGGCGAAAAAGCATAATTAAATTGTTGCCAGCAGCACAGTTGCAGTCACCAACGCTCTGGATAACATGAAAACAGCCTAACCAGCTCTGCTAGGGCGAGTAAAATGGTCAGAGTGAGCTGTTCTCTCATTTGTGTCCGGAAGTAGCTAGCAAGTTAGCCAACGTTAGCCAGTTAGCTTGGGTGCTTGACTGCTGTTGTTAGGACAGAACGCTCAGATCAACCCTACTTTTCGACCAGAGCGTCCAGTGTGCGCTCTGAACGCTCCGTGAGCGAAACGCTCTGAATTTACGAACGGCCAATCTGACAATGCTCTGAGTTAACGAACACCCAGAGCGCACTCTGGCACTCCAGATTACATTTACGAACACACCCGTAGTATAAACCAGCCTTTAGTCTTGAAATCTTTGGTTGTTTAGTACATGGCCTCACATGTGAATCCTTAAAGAGATGGGTGGGGCTAAAGCTTAAGAGGGTGTGAACGATGCTGAATGGGTGTAGACAAAGAAGAGCTCTCCAGTAGGTACGAAAATATTCAAGGAACATTTTCTCAAAAGTGAGGTTTATCAACTTTCAAAGCAGAATTACTTTCCCGTGGTTCCCCAACTGTAGTGGATGATATACCATTTTGTAGCTCTGTATCTACTTTTATCCAATGTAAAAAACACTATTTCAAATTTTGCTACATAAGACCGAATCACATATGTCAATATTTAGCTTTAGAAAGTAGCTATGACATAAATATATAACACAGCTTTGGATTTCACGCCTGTCTGAAAAGCGTTATGAACGTTTGGAACTTTGGATGGAAAATTACTGAGGATGATAGCGGACAATATTTCGACTCCTATTTGCCATGTCTTTCAATCTAAGCCTACTAGAAAGTGTGTGCCCTCAGGCCTGGAGGGAAGCTAAAGTCATTTCGCTGCCCAAGAATAGTAAAGCCCCCTTTACTGGCTCAAACAGCCGGCCAATTAGCCTGTTACCAACCCTTAGTAAACTTTTGATAAAAACTGTGTTTGACCAGATACAATGCTATTTCACAGTAAACAAATTAACAACAGATTTTCAGCCTGCTTATAGGGAAAGGCATTCAACATGTGCTGCACTTACAAAAAACGACTGATGATTGGGTGAGAGAAATTGCTGATAAAAATATTGTGGGAGCTGTTTTTGTTAGACTTCAGTGCAGCTTTTGACATTATCGATCATAGTCTGCTGATGGAAAAACTTGTGTTATGGCTTTTACACACCCTGCTACAGTACCGGTCAAAAGTTTGGACACACCTACTCATTCAAGGGTTTGTCTTTATTTTTACTATATTCTACATTGTAGAATAATAGTGAAGACATCAAAACTATGAAATAACACATATGGAATCATGTAGTAACCAAAAAAAGTGTTAAACAAATCAAAATATATTTTATATTTGAGATTCTTCAAATAGCCACCCTTTGCCTTGATGACAGCTTTGCACACTGTTGGCATTCTCTCAACCAGCTTCATGAGGTAGTCACCTGGAATACCAGTCTGTTCTAACAAAAACAAATGCAAAGGCTTTATACAGCAAAGATGAAAAAACAGCCACATCTTTATACAGCATGGCAAAGCGTAGCATAGCGTGGTCCTCTGTAGCTCAGCTGGTAGAGCACGGCGCTTGTAACGCCAAGGGTAGTGGGTTCGATCCCCGGGACCACCCATACGTAAAAATGTATGCACACATGACTGTAAGTCGCTTTGGATAAAAGCGTCTGCTAAATTGCATATTATTATTATTATTAAAAACAGCCACATCTGTGAAATTGCTTTATCCGACATTTTGCCTTTTGCATGAGGCTTGGTGCTCCCGTAAACTATTAAACAAACACTAAAACAGGCAACAAAAGTAGGATCTGTCTTATTTCTGTAGATATATATGGATGATTTATAAAGCCAGTCACATTTAACAGTTAGGCTATTGATTATAGACCTAATTAAGTCTCCTCAACTTTCTTAGACAATTAGGCGAGGGCTGTTTCCTCATTCTGCTGCTACCTCCGCCGCATTGTTCTCAATCCCAATATGCTGGTTAACTTTGCTATTATGCACATAGCTACATAGAGAAAGGCGCCAATTCTACGGCGCACTGAAGATTATGTTTCAGAAACCGCAGAGAGTCCAACGCGGGACAAAAGCGCATATGTTATAAAATAATATTAGATTTATTAGCGATGCACCATTATTTTTTTTACATAATATAACCATATTCAGTGTCACATGTCTTAAGAGTGATGGACTGTGTCGTCCCCGTGGCCTCCGCAATGGATTAGTCCACTGAGACGGGAGCCAATCAGACAGTTGTCTTGTGCGCCATGAAATGTTTTAAATAAATTCGACTGCTGGACTAAGGGAATCTCGATCGACCAAACAATGGACCGGTGGACTAAATGGGGTCAGCCCTACTGTGCACACAGTTGTTATCTGACTTGTAGATTGATGTAATACGCAGTTACATGCAGACAAGTTTGACGGGCTGAAGGACAGGACTCCATCCATTCAGTCACAACAGGTAGAGGTATTTTCATAATAAAGCAGTAAAAAAACGTTAGTGTCCCGGCGATTCGTGACGTTTGAATAGTTTTTCTTATCGATGCACGCTTCATTTGACATCCCTACTAAGTAAAGTAAAAGTATGGCGCTTTAGTAAAATAAAGTAAATCGTAAAGTACAGTAAAGTAAAGGCTAAGTAAAGTCAAATCAAGTAAGTGTCCTTGCCTCTCTTGGAGCGTAGAGTGTGGCTTGAGCGGTGGGAGATATGAGACCCTCCGCTGGAGCTCTTCCTTCTCTGGTAGGTCTGCTGCTGTTGCTGGAGGTAATGCACAGAGTCCATGGAGGTGCCCATGCCCAGATTTATGGACCTGAGGGTCTGGGTGGAGCCCTTCCTCTCGCGGGGGGTGGAGGGGACGGGAGTGGCCTCCCTCTCCCTCCTCTCGTCCTCCTCTGACTCAGTGTCCCGCCGGAGAATCTCCTTCTTGGTGTCCTTAAGGTTGTCTTCGTCCCAGAGACCATGACACTATGGCGGGACAATACAGAGAAGAGACACGGGGATAAAGCTCGGTACCAAACCAAGTGGCGGGAAGGTAGAGGAGAGGTAGAGGAAGGTAGAGGAGAGGTAGAGGAAGGTAGAGGAGAGGTAGAGGAAGGTAGAGGAGAGGTAGAGGAGAGGTAGAGGAAGGTAGAGGAGGTAAGGGGGGGGGGGTGGGGGGTGGGAATGGGGGGGAAGGGAAGGGGAGGGGGTGGGGGTAGGGGGGGTGGGGGTAGAGGGAGGGGGGGGAAGGTGAGGAGAGGGGGGGTAGGGGGGTGGGGGGGTAAAGGGGGAGGGCGGGGCCAATGGGTTTCCCCCAAAAAAAAACCCGTTTTGGTTTGAAAACCTCCTCTTAAAATCTGCTCCCCCCCCCTGTGTTCATTAAACCTCTACAACACTTTCAATACACTATACATCTTATCAAAACTCAAACAAAAAAACCCCAAATTTCCGTAAACAGCCTCTCCTCCCCCCGCCCTCACAAAAAAAAAAAGGAAATCAAGTCCCCCCCATTCATAAAATTTTAATAGGGGTTCTACTGGGGCAGGGCCCTCCCGTCCCTTTCCTTTTTTCACAAAAATTAAAAAGGGAAAAAAAGTCTGATCTCGTACCTTAGGGTGGGCCGTGGAAGAAGAGCGCCAGAAGCTGTATGAGGTCATAGACGACGTATCCATCTTTCTTCTCCACTCCGATGATGTTGGGAGGGTGATAGGGTCTATTCCCATCCACCACTAGGTTCTGGTTGAAGGGAAAGAAGCCAAACTGGAAGAAGTACTTGATGACGATGGTGACCTGGGAGGGAAGACATAAACAGGCAGTAATGTTATTATAGGGGTGATTATTAATGGTAATATGACAATCAATCAATCCATCCAGGTGAGGATGTGTGTTTCATTCTGATCGGCATCCAGTCTGTCACGGTTTCGGACGAGGCTGCTCCTCCTCCTTGCTCGGGCAGGTTTCGGCGGTCGTCGTCCCCGGAGTACTAGCTGCCACCGTTGTATGTTTCATGTTCGTTTGGTTTTGTCTTGATGTTGTACACCTGTTTCTAGTTAGTCTTCATTAGTGTCCTATTTAGTTCTCGTTGTGTGTGTCAGGTGTTGTGTGTGATTACGCTTCTGTTTGGTGTTCGTTGCTACGTGTTTCCCTCCGTTGTTTGGAGAGGTTTTCGCACATGTTAGTGCGCCTTTTGTTTGACGCCTGTGTGCGCCTTTATTTCGCATCCGGGCTTGTTGTGCTCGTGTACTACGTGAATATTTCACTAAAGTCTTTTGGACTTAGTTTCTGCGTCCTGCGCTTGATTCCTGCACCACACCCACCTTCAGCACCCGTGACAGAATCACACACCATATATAATGGAATCAGCAGGAGCAACAGCCACACCTGAGTCGCTGGAGGAGCATGTCCGCGGCCAGGATGACCAGATCAGACAACTGGGGACCGCTCTACAGGATGTCATCAACACCCTGCACCGATGGGAGTCCAGAGGGGTACCCACACCTCCACCTACCTTGCCACCCCCATCGGCCGGTCCACCAGTCCCAGGTCCGGAACCCAGTGGGATTCGGCTCTCGCTCCCGAGGGCGTATGACGGAACAGCTGCCGGGTGTCAGGGGTTCCTCCTGCAGGTGGAGCTCTACCTGGCCACTGTACACCCGGTGCCCTCGGGACACGAGAGCGTTTCCGCCCTCATCTCCTGTCTCACGGGCAAGGCGTTGGAATGGGCCAAAGCCGAGTGGAGGAGGATAGACGCCACCACCATCTCCTACGCAGAGTTCTCCCGTCGCTTCAAGGCCGTGTTCGACCATCCACCTGAGGGCAAAGCGGCGGGGGAGCGTCTATTCTACCTGAGACAGGGGAGGAGGAGCGCACAGGCGTTCGCACTGGAGTTCCGGACTCTAGCGGCAGACCACCCATTGAGAGCTCTCTCCTGCGTACCCGGTGGTGCTGGGAATTCCCTGGTTATAACCCTGCCATTTCGTGGCAACAGAGAGCTCTCAATGGGTGGTCTGCTCAGTGTGAGGGGCGATGTCTGGGTGTTTCCGTGGGGGCGACTTCGGTGGAAAGTCCAAACCAAGTGCCCGCATTGTACATTCCGCCTGAATATGGGGATTTGGCTATCGTGTTTAGTAAAGCTAGGGCGACGCAGTTGCCTCCTCATAGACAGGGGGATTGTGCGATTGATCTCCAGGCAGGAGCAGCGCTCCCACGGAGCCACGTGTATCCTTTGTCTCAAGAGGAGAGAAAAGCTATGGAGACTTACATAGCCGAATCTTTGAGACAGGGATACATACGGCCCTCCACTTCTCCCGCATCCTCGAGCTTCTTTTTTGTGAAGAAAAAAGATGGAGGGTTGCGCCCGTGCATTGATTACCGTGGTCTCAATCAGATTACTGTGAAATACAGTTATCCACTCCCTCTGATTGCGACCATGACGGAGTCATTGCATGGAGCGCGGTTTTTCACAAAACTGGATCTCAGGAGCGCGTATAACTTGGTGCGCATTAGGGAGGGCGACGAATGGAAAACAGCGTTTAGTACCACGTCGGGTCATTTCGAGTATCTCGTCATGCCATACGGGTTGATGAATGCTCCATCAGTCTTCCAATCCTTCGTGGATGAGATTTTCCGGGATATGCAGGGGCAAGGGGTGGTCGTGTACATTGATGACATTCTAGTGTACTCGTCTACCCGAGCCGAGCATATAGCCCTGGTGCGTCGTGTATTGAGGAGGCTGTTGGAGCACGACCTGTATGTCAAGGCAGAGAAATGTCTGTTTTTCCAGGAGTCGGTCTCCTTTTTGGGTTATCGGTTGTCCGCGTCAGGGGTGAGAATGGAGGTGGACCGTGTGTCAGCCGTGCGTAATTGGCAAACCCCAACCACTGTCAAAGAGGTGCAGCAGTTCTTGGGCTTTGCGAATTACTACCGGAGGTTTATCCAGGGTTTTAGAAAGGTGGCAGCTCCCATCACGTCCCTTCTGAAAGGGGGTCCGGTGCGCCTGCAGTGGTCAGCTGATGCGGACAGGGCCTTTGGGAGACTGAAGGACCTGTTTACGTCGGCTCCGGTGCTGGCGCATCCGGATCCCACAATTCCCTTTCAGTTTGAGGTGGACGCGTCTGAGGCTGGTATAGGGGCCGTGCTCTCTCAACGGTCCGGCTCGCCACCTAAACTCCGCCCCTGTGCTTTTTACTCCAAAAGGCTCAGCCCGGCGGAGCGTAACTATGACGTTGGGGACAGGGAGCTGTTAGCTGTAGTTCAGGCCCTTAAGGTGTGGAGGCATTGGCTTGAGGGGGCTCAACACCCTTTCCTCATTTTGACTGACCATCGGAACCTGGAGTACATCCGGGCAGCGAGGAGACTGAACCCTCGCCAGGCTCGATGGAGTATGTTTCTCGCCAGGTTCGTATTTAAAATCACGTACATCCCTGGGTCCCAGAACGGTAAGGCAGATGCGCTGTCCCGGCGGTATGACACGGAGGAGAGGTCCGTTGAGCCTACTCCCATACTACCGGCGTCTTGTCTTGTGGCACCGGTTGTGTGGGAGGTCGATGCTGAAATCGAGCGGGCGTTGCGTGCCGACCCTAGCCCTCCACAGTGTCCTGTGGGTCAGAAGTACGTTCCGCTCGAGGTTCGGGATCGACTCATTTACTGGGCTCACACGTCACCCTCCTCTGGACATCTGGGTATTGGCCGGACAGTGCATTGTCTTAGCACTAAATACTGGTGGCTCACGTTAGCCAGGGATGTGAGGGTTTATGTCTCCTCCTGCTCGGTGTGCGCCCAGTGTAAGGCGCCCAGACACCTGCCCAGGGGTAAGTTACAACCCCTGCCCGTTCCACAACGACCATGGTCCCACATCTCAGTGGATTTTGTGACAGACCTTCCCCTCTCTCAGGGGAATACCACCATCCTGGTCGTTGTGGACCGGTTCTCTAAGGCCTGTCGTCTTCTCCCTATGTCGGGTCTTCCTACTGCCCTACAGACCGCAGAGGCACTATTTACCCACGTCTTCCGGCATTACGGGGTACCCGAGGATATAGTGTCTGATCGAGGCCCCCAGTTTACCTCCCGAGTCTGGAGAGCGTTCATGGAGCGTTTGGGGGTCTCGGTGAGCCTTACCTCGGGGTACCACCCGGAGAGCAATGGGCAGGTAGAACGAGTCAACCAGGATGTGGGTAGGTTTCTGAGGTCGTATTGCCAGGACCGGCCGGAGGAGTGGGCTCGGTATATTCCCTGGGCCGAGATGGCCCAGAACTCTCTCCGCCACTCCTCTACCAACCTAACCCCCTTCCAATGTGTGTTAGGTTACCAGCCGGTTCTGGCACCTTGGCAGCAGAGCCAGATCGAGGCCCCTGCGGTGGATGATTGGATGAGGCGCTCGGAGGAGACGTGGAACGCTGCACACGTCCACCTGCAGCGGGCCATCCGTCGACACAAGGCGAGCGCCGATCTCCACCGCAGTGAGGGGCCGGTGTACGCACCCGGAGATCGAGTCTGGCTCTCAACCAGAAACCTGCCCCTCCGCCTGCCCTGCCGGAAGCTGGGTCGGTGGTTTGTGGGGCCTTTTAAAGTCCTGAGAAGACTGAACGAGGTGTGTTATAGGTTACATCTGCCTATTGAATATAAGAATATTAACCCCTCGTTCCATGTGTCTCTTCTCAGGCCGGTGGTAGCTGGTCCACTCCAGGAAGGTGAGATAGGAGAGACTCCTCCGCCCCCACTGGACATCGAGGGGGCTCCGGCGTACACCGTTCGGTCCATCTTGGACTCAAGACGCCGGATGGGGGGTCTCCAGTATCTCGTGGAGTGGGAGGGGTACGGCCCGGAGGAGCGGTGCTGGGTGCCGCGGAGGGACATCCTAGACCCGTCTCTCCTGTCGGAGTTCCACCGGGGCCATCCCGCATGCCCTGCTCCGCGTCCTCCTGGTCGTCCCCGAGGCCGGGGTCGGCGCACGGCTGGAGCCGCGCGTCAAGGGGGGGGTACTGTCACGGTTTCGGCCGAGGCTGCTCCTCCTCCTTGCTCGGGCAGGTTTCGGCGGTCGTCGTCCCCGGAGTACTAGCTGCCGCCGTTGTATGTTTCATGTTCGTTTGGTTTTGTCTTGATGTTGTACACCTGTTTCTAGTTAGTCTTCATTAGTGTCCTATTTAGTTCTCGTTGTGTGTGTCAGGTGTTGTGTGTGATTACGCTTCTGTTTGGTGTTCGTTGCTACGTGTTTCCCTCCGTTGTTTGGAGAGGTTTTCGCACATGTTAGTGCGCCTTTTGTTTGACGCCTGTGTGCGCCTTTATTTCGCCTCCGGGCTTGTTGTGCTCGTGTACTACGTTAATATTTCACTAAAGTCTTTTGGACTTAGTTTCTGCGTCCTGCGCTTGATTCCTGCACCACACCCACCTTCAGCACCCGTGACACAGTCAGACGTTTTAATCAGTGTCAGAATGTAACATGAAACAACAATTCCAACACGTAGGGTTGAGATGTCATTACGGGGTTCCTGGACACACGGACACAGCCTCCG